AAAGCGGGGATGAAGTTGTTGTGGAAGAGGACGCCAGGGCGGCAGAAGCTTGGTTTGGTGTAGAAGGCTTCCAGCCGTACATGTTTGAGCCCTTGCCTCACAACGCTACCAGTTCTGTTAGCTCTACGCCTGCTGAAGACACATCCCGGTGAAAAGTAAATGATTCTTATTTCTTATTTCAACCATTGCATATATTAGCTGCGACATATGAATCAAGATGCTATGACTGAAAACATTTGATTGACAGATTGATATATGTTGATATATGATTGGCCGTATTTAGGAGTACAAGCTGACGTATAACTAACTGGCCCGCATAAAATAATGAAAAGAAGCCCCACAGATTTTAAGACAGGATTTTTTTTTTTTATCAAAATTTTCCAAAATTTTGAGACAATATCTGATAAAGAGTACATTTATATACATGTTTAAGCCAGAATGATTTGACATCAAACATGATTTACCTACGACTTTAAGATTATTTCAAAGTTCATGATATGTTAAAATTTTAGTCTGAAACAAATACAAGCATTTTTAGGTTCCACATCATTAGCTTTTGACACAAGAAGAAGAAATGGTCTAAAGGCGGTACCGAGCCTGGCGTAGATGTGGCTGAGGACCCTGGATGGTTGAACGTGGATGGGATGGATATCAGCCACCGTTTCCACGTTTATACCGTTCTTCATCAGCAGCTCCTTGATTTCCTCCGTCTCAGCCAAAACGGACACTAAGGAAGAGCAATCGTTTGACTTTTTCCTGTAATCTAATAAGAAATATTAAAAGTGATGCACCCTTGGCTTTGAACTCACCCTGAACAACTACATCAGGCTTGGGGACCGTTGAAAACCGTCGGTTAAGAGGGTCAATCTCTCCGGGGGCAAGAAAACCCTAAATTCAAACAGTTCATTAAACAAAAAAATACACATTTAATACTTCTAATTTAAGTTTTTAGGAAGTCATTTTAACCACCTTATATAAACTTATTAAATGCGGAAAATGGCTAACTTAACCCTCCATATAATGTTTAAACATTTATCATTATCACATTTCTTAAGCCTCTGGCCATGAAGTGAGGTCAGCATGCTAGCTACCCTGACAGGAAAGTTAAGGAGGCGTTAAAATGGGAGGACGACCACATTGCTGCCATTAAGGAGCTCAAGTTTGGTTATGTGCTAAAAGGGAAGGAATACATTTGTTTAAGAAACAGATTAGTGTGACATTAATTACTCACTCTTGGTGTGTATAGAGAGGATAATATAATGATGCTATCAAAACTGTTCTGCTGTATGTACAATTCAATTC